TTCCTCTCGGTATTCATGTTATTACATCTTTCTTTGCAGTTCAAGTTCAAGATCTTTCGTGTATTCACTTGTATGCGATTTTTGATCCGATAGTTTAATTTTTAAAGTGGGCTTGAGTGGGGAAAATCTTTTTGCATAGATCTTTTGAGAACTGTGAAAGTTGTAGTAGCGATATTCAAGAAATAATTTGTCATTTGTGGATGTCCTCGAGGGAACGTTTCCGATTCTGATCGTTCCATAGAAGCGGTGAAAGGCGGGACACTGAGGCTCCCAAGGCTGTGTTCTTATTAATTGACTGAGTGGGAAGACCGGATCGGACGAGAAAATATTTGGCTCCAGGTCAGGATGTACGCACCGAGCGTGCGTCCTGACCGAGAGAGTTAAATTTCCCGTTCTGCCCAAACCTCACGCAGTCAACAAGTTTATCAAACGACTATTTTGTTTTGCTTTCTTAATTTGTACTTCTTCATTGATGAGAAGTGCTGACTTTCTTTATGTACTTGCACAGTAATTTGGTAACTGAAGTAGGTCTGCATCTGACAGTTGTAGGCTCCTAAAAGAAGAAAACAAAAATTCGCAGCAACAAATTAAACCTAATTTTGTCATTTACTAGCGTGAATTTTGTGAGGTAGTGTGCGTTTCTGGTAGGGTGGAACACTTTTTCAGGCTCCATCAGTTCGACGCCTACGGCTCTCCTAAGGGAACTTTTTTCTTATAGATTTCGAAGAAAATAGAAGGCAGGGCCGTAAAATATAGAACAGCACGAGAAAATCGCAAATTATCCCAGGCGGCGCGTGGTCTTGAGTCGTGCGATTTTTGTGAAACTGTCGAGTATGGGGCTCAAAAACCCACACAATCTGTCCACAGAACAACTTTCTATGACAAAACCAGAAGTTCTCAACAAAACTTGGTGAATGGAGTAGGGTGGAGGGGTGCTATGTCTCGCTCAAAAGGGGAGGGGGATTTTCGACCCCTTTCGACAAAAAGGGGTAAGGATCCCTGGGCGCTCGTCCAGTTACACCGGGAAATATACACCTCTTACTAACCAAGCTCGAGGTCCGTATTGTAAATTAAGGAACGATTTCCCCCCTTCGATTTATTACTTAAGCGCGAGGTCCACGTGCCATGAATCAAAGGGGGAAAGCGAGGATCCGTAACTTAAAGTAGGGATCGAGAAGACGCTGATGGGTTCGGGAAACGATCGATTTCTATTCATTCGGAAGGACTTCAAATAATTGACGTCTGTTGAAAGCAAAACGAGTCATTGCAATTCGAAATCGTTGTAAGTGGTTTGCA